ATATATTACTGATGAGGCAGATTATTTTCCTGCAGTAGGTTGCCATTTCTTTCTGCAGTAGACCAGTTGCCATCCAAAGCTATAGAACCTGGTCTGTCCTGCTATTTTACACATAGCTGGGGGGGGTGAAGAAGAGGATTCATACCTTTCCCAAGGGTATTAGTACATAAGTGAATGTAATGGATTTGACTGGAATTTGAACTTGGCTCTCTGATTCCTCAAATCAAGCTGCTATCCATTACTCCACCATAAAGCAAAATGTTCAAGCATTGTGTTGACACACAAAAAGCAAAACAGTCAAGTGGTTGTAGCGTTCTAATTTCAAGACAAGAAAAAACAAAAATATTGTGGATGAGACTGAGAAGTTGTCCATTTTATTGGTTAGGAAAGAAATTATAATTTGTCTATAAATTTTGAAAGGGGACATTTTACTGATCATTTCCATACAGATTGAAACCAATGTATGGCTGCACTAATTGCTGGTTAAGAGAGGCAGACATGGCTACAAATATCACATACAAAAATGCATTGTCATCATCCATTGACAATCCTCCTCTGGCAGCCCTTTTCACCTTTGTGTGACAACACCTGCTTTTCTTCAATGAGCTTTACAATTACAGTAGTCCACCGCTCTAGCACAGGTCTTGATGGCTGGTCCATTCTGCAAGTGAATCACAGTAGCTGTGGGTGTGCATAGGTGATAATAGGAGGTTGAACACCTACCTGAGTTTGGGGCCCTATTTGCCCTATTTCATGATATACACCCTAGATAATGGCTTGAAAAGAACCTCAAAAAATTATACTAATTTATGCCAATGATTCCATAAGAAATTTCAGGTAATTTGCTTTTTAAGCCCCGCACTAAATATCTAAGAAAAATTTCCCAAACAGTTATTTTTTATTCAAAATTTACATGCCTAATTTGAAAATAAAAATCTACCATTTTGTAGCTATCAACAATAAAAGCTTGGACTCATTTGTGTTGTTGTCAGCTAGGCACGGTAGATCATTTAAACTGATGAATTATTTATATTTTCAAAATACTTTGCCCTTGGATTTTTGCAAAGAAGTTTAACTTTAATAAAAATTTTCTTGATTAGTCCAACAAGTCATGCTTTGGCTAGCAACCCAATGGATGTTCTGATCCGCCTGCACAATATTCTTAGTCACTATTTCATCAATGTACAACCTTCAGTTGTTAATGGAGGTCACGGTTTCTTAGCCTTTACCTGTGCTGATGTATTGGTGTGTTTATACAAATTGCAGAAATCAAACATAACGTCTTAGCTAAACCGGTTGCTGAGTGAAACCTATTTGTTGACATATTGAGTTTAGTTAGTTTTAGATAGGGTACAAACATAACCTCATAAAAGAGCCTTCCTGTTAGGCTTTCAACAAACATATTGAATAGAGAAGTTGCATGTGTATGTAAGACATGAATAATTATCAACACATAAGTACGTGCACATAAACACAAGAATTACAGTGGCTTGTACTGGAACAAGGACTTAAGACCCTATAAGAACTCATTCTATTTACTTTTACATAAAAAGGACAATTTTATTTTAAAATATTCATTCTTTTTTTGCACAGCTGATCTTACTAAGTGGTTGTCTATTATAATCAATAATAGATTTAACTGGAATCAATATATATATATATATATATATATATATATATATATATATATATATTAAAATAAAGAGAAAAACATTAAGATTTATAATCCAGTGTTCTTATTAATTATTTTTATTTTTAAAAAACAGTGCTCAATACAGTTCTGCAGAGCATAAATATTATAAATTTACTAATTTAAAAATATGGTTCCATTGCTACACAAGAATTACCATGTTTCAAAACAGAAACTAAAAATTTCAAATGTAATTATAGAATTAAATTAAAATCCCTAGTACTGTTTAATATTCAAGCGAATTTATTCAAGGGATTTTAATGTATTTTTTTTTTGTTTTTAATCAATTCATCTGAAGCAAGACAAAAGGCTACTGGAAGTGAAAAAGAATGAAAAAATTTTTAGAAGGAACTGGAAACCCAGTTCTAAAAAGGAAACAAATGATAACAATAATATGTGTGTAAATGTATCATAATTCTAATTTGTCTATGGGGGATTTGGATTATATATATATATATATATATATGTATGTGTGTGTGTGTGTGTATGTACAAGTTTGATTAGATTAATAAATGTTTCCTATTTGTTCTTTTTCATATCATTCTGACAGATTGTTTTATATATATATATATATATATATATATATATATATATATATATAATTATTATTTATAAAAAAAATTATAACATAAGTATGTTATAAAATCACTACAAAAATAGCCATCTTGTTTCAACACACTCAGTGTCTTATCAAGTGATGATGTTGAAGATAAAAAAATCATATATCATTGTATATATATATATATATATATATATATATATATATATATATATATATATATATATATATATACACACACACACACACTACAGTTTATCGTTGGTAATTTTTTACAATGGCCCGAAAAGTAGTTGTTTTCTACTTTCAGTAAGAGCAAATTATCATTTAAAAAATCACTATAACAGTATGCAGCAGATTTTATCACCATTACAATGTTTGTCTTCGTAATTTAACCCTGAAGATGATCTTAGAAAAGGTCGAAAGTACTTGGGTTAAAAAAATTACAGTACCTTCCTTGATGAATTTCATCTTAACATCAAGAAACTGATTAAACAACTGAAAAGGATCAGTATAAAAATAAGTAAACACAATATTAAACTCCTGGTAGGGCCACTCTTGGCAACAAAGTCAAAGACCCAGCACAGCCAATCCCAAAGACCCGAACAGGGGAACAACAAGCCGATAATGATTACAATAGATCTTAACAGCTGAACCAGTGGCTGAAGAGAGCTATGCATGATAGACATGCTACAGAAGGCATCACTCAAAGTTATAACAAAGTAAACATCAGACCGTTCAAGTTTTGTAATTGGAGTCAGCATGTATTATTCCATATATACTGCAAAAGAAGGTCATGAAATCATGGGTGTGGGCCACTTCCTGGCAAGTTGAGGTCCACCTTAAACAAATTCACGTCATTGGTACATTCTACTCTGATTTTGTTTTCACCTCCAACTCTTGCAAAGCCAAACGGTGATAAGGAATAGATGTTTTTGGTAAAACTGGAAGCTTCTAGTTCTGAACATATGCAGGTTGGTGGCAAATTTAGTCATCAATGCTATCATAAAGAAAGTAATCAGCAAAGAAGAAATTAAATTCTTGGATACAAGATAAAGTTGCTGCCAATATGTATATGTGTATATATGTATATATGTATGTATACATACATACATACATTGTCCTGGGTATGACATGTAAACTGCAACCAGTGATGTGGCTCAATATTTACTATTTGGAGTCTTGGAGAATGTAGAGTTACCCCTTAAATGCCATTACTCCCAGGTCCACTGTGGCCCAGATAGGTAGCACCTGTCAGTGTCCCATCTATGAGTCAAATAGTTTGCTTGTGTGTGTGTTTGTTATGTAAATACACTGCATGCATGTGGGTGTGTGCACATATGGGACAGCTGTATATGCACCATGGATATGGAATATCTGCATCGTTTATATGTGTATATTTGTACATACATATATGGGTAGATGAGACACTTCAGTCATGTTTATGTCAACCCTTTTAAGAGAAGGAAACTCAGATGACAAACCTGCGACTGAAATGACTACTGGTCATCTTGCCTTTGCTTGTCACGTAGTCATAATTGTAGAGGCTTAGAGAGTGGCACTCATGTTGTACAAGCATTTGTCACTATAAGTGATGTACAGATGCGTCTTTGCGACATCTCTCATTCTATTCGTACACCTCAAACTTAGAGAGGTATAAGGTGGGGAGCGAACTTGATTAGATGGCCATCATTTGTGAAGATGCAGCAAATCATCATCATATATATATATATATATATATATATATATATATATATATATATATATATATATATATATATTTGTTTACATGAAAATTCTTTAAATCAATCAAAATAAAAAGTATGACAATATTTCTTGCTGATGGAAATAACTGTTTTGTTTCTTTTGAATATTATTTTAAATTTGATTTTAATATTTTATTCAAAATATAAATCAGTTTTGAGCACGTGTCCAATATATTGCTAAGAGAATAATATTTTAAAAACAACAGTTTCAAGAAAAGGTAATTTTAGCTTACAATTAAATAAATTCATATTTTTTCATCTACTATGCAACAAATGGGGAGGCATGGTGAATAATGGATAGCAGCTTGGATTGAGGAATCGGAGAGCCGAGTTCGAATTCCCATCAAATTCATTATATTCACTTACGTGCTAATACCCTTGGGAAAAGGTATGAATCTTCTTCTCCCCCCAGCTATGAGTAAAAAGCAGGACAGACAGAGTTCTATAGCCTTGGATGGCAACTGATCTACTGCAGAAAGAAATGGCAACCTACAGCAGGAAAAAAATCTGCCTCATCAGTCATGTATCAAAAGATACATGATCACCTAAGTGTGTATCAAGCACGGCACATTACTGACTGAGGCAACAAATAGGTATTTTCTTGTCTTCACATACTAAGTGATCACTTTCATTCCAGAACCAAACAGACTTGAAAAACTCTTTAACACGACCTTTTTATCGAGTTGAAAAAACATTTAAAAACAGATGTCAGGGAAAAGACAATAACAAATCATGTCAAACTCCAGTTTTAAAGCCAGTTAACTAAAGAATTACCCAGGCTCTATTGTTAATGAAATAGTTGTCACTATCCATAATACATGTATGTGAGAGTAATCCCTCACCACCAACAAGGCCAAAAATTCCATCTGCCTTCTCCACCTTCAGAAATTTCCCACACACAACTCAGTCACCTGAAGACAGCATCGATCATAGATCAGAAAAATAAAAACTAGACGAGTGAAAAGACAAGCATTTATTTGAATTCATGAATTCAAAACTAAAAGCTGTTTACCTGTCTTCTTTACTTCATTCCCATCCCTTCACATCTAATTTTGATGCAATTATTACCTGCAATGGCCACCTGCTTGAAAGGTAGGTCTAACCATCACAGGTTACAGATAGAATAGGGTGATTATACAATGCAAGTATATTGCTAATGATTTTATTATTAAATCACATTGCAAATGATGGCGAAAGGGATTGTTTGTAGTCAGATTAACCATCCTAGATTATGAATATAAAAAAAGAAATTATTAAATTTTGTAAAAGATAATAAATAGACAGGTCCAGTTTGCTATATAAGTTCATTGTAAACTGTCACACTCCATAGAAGCCAAAAAAAATATACTTATATGATGTGATTTCTTAAAATGTAAAAAAAGTTTTTGAAATTTGCCTCAAAGTAGCCAAAATGTGATTCTACAGAAGTATACTGAAAATTCCGTGGATGGAACGAGTAAGCAACAAGGAAGTCTTAAAGAAAATGGCAACTGAAAGAACAATTACACTCAAAATCAGGAAGAGTCAGCTGAAATTCCTTGGACACATAATGAGAAAGGTAGGCTTGGAAAACTTAAGCCTCACATGGCATACTGAGAGCAAAAGATAAGGAAAGGCAGTGAGCTACTTATCTGATTAACTTTTGTGAATGGATGGTGAAGATAGGATGTTGTGGAGAGCCATGATCGTCTATGTCCTGATAGGATACAGAACATAGAAGAATCTTGAGTCCTTAATCAATAGTAATATATGAAAAAAAAAAAAAACCCTCGAGATTACAAATTTTTAATGTTTTTGTTACATCAAAGGAACATATTTGTCTGGTGTTCAATTTACAATGAATCTATATAGCGAGTTATGATTTATGTTGTAAGTCTGAGATGTCTGACAAAGTAAAACTGAAAACTGTTCTTGAAAATGACCTCCAATCAGTTGTTAACAGAGGCAAGTAATGGCTTTTAAATTTTAGCACCTCCAAAATGAAACTGCTCTCTTTTAATCATCAAAGAGAACAAAGATGGCTGATGCTAACCTTCAGGAGAGCAACTTATTGAGTTTTAAATTCCTCTATGCAAGAAAATTACACCAAGTAACATTCATCAATGCTTACTGAACATTTATAGAGACTAAACACTGGATGTGAGCACAGTTAGACATTTCAGTATTACTGCTGTGAAAAAGAGCTGATTATTACTATGAAAATTTATAAACAGTGGATGTGACTACATGTTAAATGTTTTTCTGTGGTCTTTTGTAATTGAAAACTTGTCCTATCAAACGGCATTATTGTGCTTCCTGTATGTTGTGTTTTTTTTTGTAAATAAGTTGGAGGTGTTATTGCTTGAGCACTATGTTTATAATGGACATGCACATTGCATCCAAAGGTAAAGACAGACAGATGAGCATTTGTTATCTGGTAACTTCTTGCAGGCTCATCTCACAATGCATTGTCAGTGAGTACATTCCTAAATTTTTGTTTCTCTAATTGCGACCTCTTGCTTTTGCTCCACTAGAAAGGAAAAAACAGCTAACAGAAATAGATCCTGGGTATTGCAGATTTTACAAATAGATGAATGTATTTACTACTGTGTTCTTCAGTCCCTAAAATGTCATGATTAATGCAAAAGTTTCCAGCATTTTCTACCTAATTTTTTATTTGTAGAAATTCATAGCATCATTATTCACTCATCTATAGCCTTTTCAACTGTCTAAAAGATACGATTTTGAATTGATGCATTCATCAAAGAATTATTCAAGAAAATGGAATTGTTAGAACTACTGAACAGGCTTTGCAGGGAGACATTTAAGTGGGAGTTTGAAGGAGGCTGATTTGGGTGCAAAACTTCCCATTCCAGTTCGTTTATGATTAGGTGAATATGAATTTTGGCATACAACAAAAATGATTCGTTGATTTCTTTACTTCTAAAAATGGCTTTTCTTTTTTAATGCATCATTCAAACGTGCCAGTTGCTCACTATAACATTACTCAAGAAGGGTTTGACCTGGTTCCAGCAATACATAATAATAAAACTTCAATCAATGATTTAAAATGGCCTAGAGTGGATGAAGCCTGTAGGTCTTAGTAAGGACCATCCTTCTTCAAACCTCATGGACTGACATGACAGAAGCATAAAGAATCTGTACCAAATAACAAAAACCACATCACTTGAAGATTTTCAACAACAGCAACAACTAAAATGGATAACACATGTAATTCAAAGAGAAAATCAATCAATCACAGTGGACTTGAAAAAAACCTATTCTCCTGAAAAATTGTTTAAAGAGAAAGATTTTATAAATATCAACAAATGGTAGTGTTGTGTTAATAAAGAAATACATAAATAAAAATTAATTATACTGCCACTGTGTTATGTTCATAAAAAAGTAAATAAATAAAAAAATTAATAATAGTTTAAAAAATAATTATAAATTATAATTATCATTAATTCACTCTTTTTAAACCAATGAAAGTCAACCGCACTTTTCTACTCTACAAATACACAAACATGTGACATTCAGGCTACTGAACATGCAGTTCACACTGACAGGTCATTAAGATGTGCATCAACAAAAGTTTCATCTCTTTTCCTGTTTCAGGCCATAATAGTAACATTTATCTTTTAGCACTCAACAAAAATTTGAGGTAAGAAAGCAGCAAACACTATTTTTCCAACTAAATTATCTAGACACTCATTACACACATGTATAAAAAAAAAAAAAAAAAAAAAACACGAGAAAGACTTTATACATTTTACTTATTCTTTATCTTATCCTTCTGTTGGATTCCAATCCATATTTGATCTACATTTTAACCCAAAACTCACAAGTTTACTCAGTATTACTATCTCTCATTTCTCCAACACCACAATACAACCAGATAATAAATGATACTCATTTTGTTGTTTTCACATCTTGCTGTTTAATCTTTACAGGTATTTTTGTACATATAAATGTTAGGGGGTTTATAATTATTTACTCAGAGATATAACTCCCCTACAGTTGCATTAGCTACTTGGTCAATAAATGCCAAATATTTTATTATACGGAAACAGCTAATAATACCATTAGAATCTGTCTATATTTCTGAGATGAGGTATTATGTACACTATTTACATTATTTTGACTATTGTCCTCATCTTTGTCGCCATATTTATCACAACATTTCAGCCATTGTACACTCCAGCCTTCTTCAGGTGATTGGAATTTTGAACTGAACCCTTTATTTCTCAAGGACACATGGCACAGTGGATAAAGGCGTTGATTAGATCCAGTGAGAGGACCCAGAGTGTGAATTCAATACCCGGTTACGGCAGTGGAGAACTTGGAGAGGGGAGTTAACAGGAGATAACTGATAACTAACATCCACTAAACATGGCACGTGGAACTAGAACAGTCTACCCCAGTGAGCAAAATAAAGGGTTCATTTCCACATTCCAACCACCTGAAGAAGGCTAGAAAATACAGTAGCTGAAACATTGTAATAAATATGGTGACAAAGATGAGAACAATAGTCTGAATGATGTAAATAGTGTACATAATACCTCATCTCAGAAATATAGCGGATACTGAAGTATCCTTTTTGTTTTCATTTTCCTTCATATTTTCTTATTGCTTACATGCTCCATCCATGATATTCACAGCATTCTTTTGAAGAACCGCATCTTACACACAATATAAATCATTAAAAAACCGGCCAAAGTTTTATATCAATTTTAAGGAAAATAAAAACAATACTTAGAATTAGAAAGAGACAGTTGAAATTTCTGGGATACATAATGAGGAAAGAGGGCTTGAAGAATTTGACACTCATGGGACATATGAAAGGCAAGAACAACAGGGAGGGCCGCAACCACACCAAATGATTCTTATTTTTACAGTGACAGATTGGCTAGCTCAATGCCCAAAATGGATTGCCTTACACAAATAAAAGGCTCCAACTGTACTATTTACCCATATCTACAGGGAACAATGGATGCATGCCTTTCCCAAGAGCAATAGTAAAAAAAAAAGTGAAAGCGAATTGTCTCAGCCAGTTAATTATACTTCCATCAAGATTTATATGTTTATTCTGAAATTGAAAATTTGATTGCACAAGTTCGTTCACTGTACCACTTTTAAAAACTGTAGGCACTTTTAAAAACAATATTTTTCAAAGTCGCAAAATCTAAAACAAAATGATTCCACTTTATTTAACTCTATTTTCTTCAAATTATTTTTGAAAGTCTGGGACACCTAACGAACCCCTTTGGCTTTTAGAGTGACACTGAAAGAGAAAATGTTAAGAGTCGAGTATCTCTACCAAGCTGAATAATGACACCCACTTCAAATTTGTATTTTGGCTTTCTACCAAAAAAAAAAAAAAATCTTACAGAATTCGTCAAATGGTGAATGGGAGATACGTCTTTTCTAAAATTTCACCATTAAAAATCACAAGAAATAAATAAAAATCAGTTTTAACAGTTGTTTAGTTTTGGTTTTCCAAACACTAAATTCCAGTGTAGCCAAAATTATTGGCCAATATTTAAATATATTCAACATGATAGTTCATGCAGCAGTAACAACGGTCTGTAGTCATGAGACACTCTCTCAACCATAGAGATAAATGAATGTCTCAATCGCCTGTCAGCTGCTAGAGAGGACCGAAGTAGTTCGATGGAGAGCAACAGATAATAATAATTTAACAAGGCCAACAGAAGAAATCTCCTCTATGTCTCTCTCTCTCTTTCTCTTAATTGAAGTAGTTACTTCCAGTTCCAAACTCAGTAGCAACAGTAGCAGCAGCAGCAGCAGGTATAAGGTGAAAACTTTCTTTGAAATCAGCTGACATTGAAGAAAATTATCAAGAAAGCACTGTTGCAAAAATTAAGAGGGAGAGGTCTGTGGCTCAACTAGTAAAGACGTATAATCATTAATTAGGCGTCGAGGGCTCAAGGTAAAAAAAATGAGACAGTGAAAGAGAATGCTTCCTTCCACTTTTCTAGTGAGAATGTAGTCAATAGTACTTGTAAAATTTGTGATATAATCTGAATCTTCCAGGTAAAAATAGCTAAAAAACCGAGCTAGTTATTATTATTGACTCACTGAGCAACTGAAGATCTTCATCAGAGAGCCTAAATTAATTATACAATTATTGAGGTAATAATGTCGATTGTCGTTGGTCCGTTTGATGCTTTTCATCAGGTCAGTTACGATAAATTAAATTAAACTTTTATAATAAATTAGTTAAAAGTTTACTTTAAACAAAAAGGAAAGAATATTGTTTTTTTTTATTTTAAGAGAAAAGATTTTTGGTATTAAAATTTTAAATTAACAAATAATTTCTTTTCTTATTTTTGTAGCTGGTCAACGAGAATCTTATTCTTGCAAATATAGACTGACCACACGTTCCTAAGAAGGTACAAGCACCCTTCACTGAAAGGTTTAAAAAGGTCTTTCTACTTTACTAAACTAAACAATAAACATCATTTATGATGTTGATTATTGGAGTGAAGAAGACCTTCAATTCTGTAGTCACTTCGTTGGTTGTAAAATCGACGTGTTTACGACAAGATAAGCAAAAAAGCATTTTTATTTAAACAGTATCACCCCCGGTTTTTTTCCTTCTCCTGAATTAGTCGATTAATGGCAAAAAGAAGCCAAGTCTATGTGTTTCTAGCTGATTCTGACAATTCTTAATGATGGAATAATAACCGACTTTCCTTCTCTATCCCCCGGGGTTACTCTATCTTCTTCGAAGACACAGATATATTTGCTTTCCTTTCTTTAGGTGTACAAAGACGGGTCAAACGTTGTTTACGTAACATTTATTAAAAATCCGAAATCAAAATTGTTTTAGCGAGAGACACGTCCAATCTGTCTGAGGGTCAACATTTTTTGGCCGATTATAGAAGAAAGATTTTGCCTGCTTTGACAAAAAAAAATATTGAAAATATCACCTTCTTACGGTTTTCTTACCTAATTAAACTTATGGTTTTAATTTTTATTTTACATTATTGACTTTTTCTAACGTAAAAAAAATGGTCTTCTTACAAATGAAACTATACAAATTTTATGATATGAAAAATTATACTGTTAAAAAAAAACAAACACATCATTGAATTGATAATTTTGTATTCGATTTCAAAATTAGATTTTTTTTTATGGAAAATATTCTTTTAATTTTTAAAAGGCGGCAATAACTTGGACTTATTACTTCAATTCAACATGTGATAAAAAATAACTAACAAAGAACATTTCCGATTCATTACAAATTTGAATTATTCTTTATAATTTTTTTTTAAATCCATGAAAAAAATAAAGCAAGAAATAAAAATAGATTTTTATGGATAACAAGCAAAACAAACTAATTTAGAAGAGAAAGAAATCTGTAGTGTCTTTCCTGTTGTGATACAGACGTTCCCCAAATAATCATTCAAAATAAAAAAAAAAAGGAAGAAAAAATATTTTAAACAATTCCTTTAAACATATTTTATCTTAAATTAAATAAGATTAAGGAGCTCTAATATTCCGAGGATCGAAGCAAAATCGTATTTACAAATAAGAAGTCTGACGATGATGCATTTAAAATTGTCGAAACGCCAAGATACAATTTTCAGTTTTGTAAATTATATGGTTTCCCTTCCAATCAAAGAAATGTCCAAGAGAAATAAAAATGACTTCATCCTTCCATCTATTTTCATTCAAAGACTCGTAATTTATGGTTGTAAAGAAAGAAAAATGAAATAATTATAATCGTGGTTCGTTCCTTTAAGGTTTACAATGAATAAAGAAAGACATTTAAAATTTAAACATAATAATTCATTTTCGCACTCAACACATTGTTTATTTTCCTGTTTTTGTGGTTGTTGCAATAACAAATATAGTTCAATGGACAAATGAAATTTATTTTTATTTTGTGATTGTTCTATTTTTATCTTAAGCTTTTATTCATTTTTAAAGTGTTACTGTTGTTTAGCGCACAGACCATGAACTATCCTTTTTAACCCAAGAAATGTTTACTTGTTTGTTGTTTATAAAAGAAGAAAAAATTAATGGTTCAATTTCACCCTGATCAACCTGAATGAACGTTCAACCAGAAAGCACCTCGTGAAGAAATCCGCAAAGGTTTTTTTTAATGTTGGAATCTATGAGTTTAAAAAGACAGAAACAAATTCGGGTTGTCAATTTCAAAATTACTAAAACAATTTTCGTTGATACTTCTCTCTTTCTTTCTCATTTTTTTCTCTGTGTGCGTGTGTGCTTGTTTTAGAGAGGTAATACTTCTTTCTCTTTTAGACTTTTATTGCAACAAGCAAGAAAATTGATGGATTTTACTAGTATTGGGACATTTTTGACAATTGAATTGCTTTTTAAAAAATCTCCAACAAATTTTCAATTAGTCTTTGGATTTTTTTTTTCGGAAATTAATAAATAAATTGATTGAGATTTTGTGGGGTTTTCAAGAACGTTTGTTTTCAGACAGAATACAAACTAAAAAGGAAAACAGATGAGAAAATTTTACAAGCATCGGATCGTCAACAAATCTACACAATACTGAATCTGAAATATTGGAATACGAGCAAAGCAAATATATTTTTCCTGGGTTCATTTTTTAATAGATGTATTTTGAAAGCATACATACTGGTGCAGTGAAAACATCTGTGTAGCAGATATATGATTTTAATTTAAATGTCTGAAAAATCTCATAAAAATGAATTTATTAAATATAAAAGAAGAACCGTTTTTTAAATATACACTACCAATGACTACCCTTTTTTATTCTATTTCTTTATTCATTTATTCAGTGCTAATGAAAATAAATACAGAATATTGTGAAACATTTTTTTTCCAATTTTCTTTCATGCATTTCAAAACAAAAGAACAGTTACTGTTAATAATATTTAGTTCCTTATTTTGTTTTTTTGCTAAAACGCATCAACAATTATTGTGCAGAAAATACGTTACAAAGAAAGAAAGTATAAAACTAAACATAAATCAAAAATGTGTTTCGGTTCAGAACATATTCTAAGGAGCCCTGTTTTGTAGTTGAAATTCTTGTTTTCTTTTTGTTACACTACCGCCTAAAAAATTAGGAAATAATGCAAGCACCTGGCATAAAGTGGGTGATCAATTACACGCATATTAACAAAGAAATCAACCCCCCTCTTTATAGCCACTAAATGAGACCTTTTTTTTTTGTATGTATTTGAAATACCTTTAAAGAACCGAATTCAAATAAATAAATTTGCGGGCCAAGTGAATTAAAAATAATAGTAAAAACAAAATGTCTGTTAATTTTTCGACGTTGAAAGAATTGAAATTCTTTACAATTCGACTCAGTTTTTGTGCATAAAAACATAAAAGTATTTATATAGTTTTTTTTTTTTTTGTGGGGGGTCAGTAATTGCAATTGAATCACATGTCCGATACATATGCATTGGCATACATACATATGTCATATTTACATTTTACATCTAATTTTACTCAATTATTTTAATCAGCTCCTGAAATATTTAAAAATGACTGAAAATTAAAAATTCAAAAATAGAAAAAGCTTACCTCTAACTTGACCTTCGAATTCTAAAAGCATTTCTTTTTCCTTTTTGGATTTACGATCAGCGTGTAAAGCCATCGTTGTTTTTTTGTTTTCTGTTGTTTGTTTTTTAAAGTTTTTATTTTCCTTTTAAATCCAAAAGACACAAAACAAGGTATTACAATAAAATATTTAATAATTCAGGGGTTGTCCGAAGTTTTTTTTGTTTTGTTTTGTTTTTGTTGTTGTTTTCCGTTTCTTCTCTTGTTTAAATTAGGTTGGAAGAAGTAGAAAGCGCGGTTTGCTTTTTACTGTTGACTGTTAAAAGTAAAACTGTATAGCAAAGAGTGTAAATTATTTATCACATAAAAAACCTAATCTATTGTTTGTAAATTATACGTACATATGTGTGTACTATGTATGTATGTTTGCTTAAGTGTAAAGATGTGTGTATATTTGTTTTAAAAATGCCACTATCTACTGTGTTGTATACATGTGTCAATGTGTTGTTGTAGTGGCCCGTGTAGTAAAATGATGTGCGAATCGGTGTGTGTATGTGTTACTGCATAATTATACTGTTTTTAGTTGTGTGTGCGTGTGTTTGCCTGCGCGCACCTATGCATTAGCCTAGTGAATTTATTCTATAATTTATGTGTGTGTATGTGTTGTTCTTGTTGTTATTATTATTATTATTATTATTTGAGACAGTGTGTGTGTGCGCGCACCGGCTTCCAACCTGAAACAGCAACTGCGATTTCTGGTTTAACGTTCAGATTCTCCCTCTCCTCCTACTACTTCTCTTGCTCCTCCTCCTCCTCCCACTTTTTGGCATCCTTTCTCTCGAGCTGCCCCTCTCTAAACTTGCTCCCGCTCTTTCTTTCCTCATATCTTCCCCATATCCCTTTCTTTCTTTCTTTCTTTCTTTCTTTCTTTCTTTCTTTCTTTCTTTCTTTCTTTCTTTTTCTTTCACTTCCTTTTTTTCTCAAACTGCCTCATTCTCTCATCATGATGGTTTTCCTTTATTTCCTCCTCATCTCCTTCATCTTTGCTTTGCATCTTCCTTTATTTATTTTTAATCTTTTCTTCTCCCTCTTTTACTCATTTCCATCACTGATACATTCATTTTCTCGTCATCTTTTTTCACCTCTTTCATTTTAACGACTTCGCCCATTTACATTTCTTTGTCTTTCTTTTGTTCCCATATTCTTTTTCTTTTTCGTTTTTTTTTCTTTTCCTGCTCCTTTCTCTCTACATACAATATGCTTCTTTAATCTTTTTCTTTTATAATTTACTTAACACTTTCTAAAACATCATTATTCACTCACTTTTTTTTTTCTTTCTTTCTTTCTTTCTTTTTTTCATCCCACGTTTTTCAATATGTCATTGCTGTTATTCTCTCTACTCTCTCTTCTTAGGCAATTTTTTCCTCTCTCTACACTTGCACATCTTCCAATTCACTCCCTAGTTTATCTGCCTCTCGTTCTTTCTTTTTCTTGCTTTCATATAGGATTCTTCTTCTCATACACTTTTTTTCTTTCTATATCCTCTGTATTCTGGGTATTTTCTTTTTGTTTATTACTCTTTCCTTTTTGCATTTTTCTGACATTTAATTTCTCTCTCTCTCTCTCTCTCTCTCTCTCTCTCTCTCTCGTAGCATTGTTCCTCTTTTTTTACTTGATTTCATTCCCTTTCTTTCATCATGTCCCATCTTTCTTACCTTCTGCTTTTTTTAATCTGACTTTTTCGTTCATCTCTTTCTTCTTCAATTTCTTCATGCATTTTTCTTTCCTTCACTCTTTATTATTCTTTTTCTTTTGCATTTTTAACTTTCTCATTTGTCCTTTTCTTTATTTTTTGCTCATTTCCAATAATTTTTTTCTTTTTGTTACTATTTTTGTTTCAACCACTTTTCATTTCTGTTCATAATAATTCCATATGATTTCCTTATTACACTTTTTCACTATTTCTTTTTTTTTTTTTTTGTACTTGAGTTCTTGTTTTTTTTTTTTTGTATCCTTTTTTTTTTCTTTTTTCTTTTTTTTTGCATCACACAGCGATCATTCCTTCTTTTCATTCCTGGGTAATTATCAAGAAATAATTATTTAAACACTTTTTCTGTCTGTCTCTGTTCATATTTTTGTATCTTTTTTCAAGCATATCTATCTATCTATCTATCTATCTATCTATCTATCTATCTATCTATCTATCTATCTATCTATCTATCTATCTATCCTAGTCAGTTCATATCTATCTAGCTATCTAGATTTTTTAATCTGGTCATATCTAAGTCTATCTATCTATCTATCTATCTATCTATCTATCTATCTATCTATCTATCTATCCTAGTCAGTTCCTATCTATCTAGCTATCTAGATTTTTTAATCTGGTCATATCTAATTCTATCTATCTATCTATCTATCTATCTATCTATCTATCTATCTATCTATCTATCTATCTATCTATCTATCTATCTATCTATCTCTAAATCCCTATACTCTTCTTGTTCTTTCTTTACAATTCATTTCTTTACATTCTCCACCGAGCCATACGCCTCCTCCTCCTCCTTCCTTTCTTCATTTCAATGCATTTTATTTACTTTCTATTCTGCCTCCCTTCCTTCCTTTTTTCTTCTTTCTAATGTTTTTACCCTGTTTAGATATGGCTCATTAGGTAAACATGGCTATCTATTCTATTTTCATTTTCCTCATTTTATAACTTACAGTCATGTACTTGTAAAATCTGCCTTAGTTGAATTCTATCAATATACAAATCAATAAATCATTGATTCTGTTCCATGAGAAGAGTTTCTTGCTCATCTACCTTCAATCTTTCTGTCATTCCTTTTCTTTTCAATTGAATATTTCCTCCACCGTCTTTCTTTTATTTCTTTCGTTTTTCTTTATTTTTTCTTTAAACAAAAATTAAAATCTTTTTTCATTTCATCCTGTCTATTTAAACTGCTATGGCCATCTTATCTATCTATCTATCTATCTATCTATCTATCTATCTATCTATCTATCTATCTATTACATTCTATTTGTCTCTATCTCAAACAGTTCATATCTGTCTCAGTCAGTTCATATCCATCAATCTAATTAGTTTATTAATATCTATTAATTTATTCCTATCTATCTATCTATCTATCTATCTATCTATCTATCTATCTTATCTATCTATCTATCTATCTATCTATCTGGATGGATCAGTAAGTCCATGGCATAGTTGTTAGCTGAACTTTGTTCTGAAAATTTTGTTGTATGATGTTAGAATTATGTGCATTGACAAGGAAGATTATGTTGATGAATAAATATTTGTTGGATGAAAGACGTGTTTTTTTCATCATTAGGTTATGAACTTATTGATGCAATTATGTATCTTTCTATTTGTCTCAATCTTATCATCTGTCTGTCCCCACCCTCACCTAGTCTCATCATCATCATCATCATCATCATCATAAACAGTTCTTAACCCGTTTTTCCTTTTTTTTTTCCTTTTCTGCTCCTTGTAGAGCTCCTAATTTATTTATTAATTAACTTCTGCAACTCTTTGTCTTCTTCCACCCTCACTTCCCTGTCCACAGCCCATAGTCAACAACTCTGGACATCTCTGCCCAACTGAACTAACACACAGACACAGAAATTAACATTAGAAAGAAAGAAAGAACATAACCTCTCCTCTCTCTCTATCATTTTTTTATTCGTCTTTCTTGGGCCAAGAACCATATTCTACATTCAATTCTTACTTTTTTATTTCCTTTCTCATATTTGGAATCAGTTGTAAAATAAAAAAAATATAGTAAGTCTGTTAATGTTATAGTAATGTACACACACAAACACACCTATATGTACACAGATAGATAGATAGATAGATAGATAGATAGATAGATAGATAGATAGATAGATAGATAGTAATGTTTACAGCACACACACAAACATTCCTATATTTACAATATAGATGGATAGTAATGTTTACACACACACAAATACACCTATCTACACAGATAAATAGATGTTTGCACACACAAATACACCTATATGTAGATAGATAGATAGATAGATAGAGAGAGAGAGAGAGAGAGAGAAATATTGAAGCAATTAAGGAACAGACAGACTGAGAAATAAATTTGAATTATTAACCAACAAATACATTATAAAATAAATAAGTATAAAGCTACTGTTTGAGCTTTTATTACTTTTTTGTTGTTTTTTTTTTACAGACACATACACACACATAAATAATAAATTTGCCAAAAAAATGAACTCTCTCTCTCTCTCTCTCTCTCTCTCTCTCTCTCTCTTGTCTCTTTTCTTCCACTTTTTCATTTTAACACTTTCTCTTTTTTTCTACACTGAGGTTCACTCTGTACAGCGTCCGAGAGCCGCTTAATGTAGAGGATTACAGAATAATTAAAATAAAACACAATTTGTAGTTATCCCACACGAAATATTTTTTTTTATTTTCGTCACACTTTATTTAAATAGTTATTTTTTTTGTTTTTTTGTTTTGTTTCTTGCTATTATCATCCAATCTATAATCTCAAAAAATATATTTATTTAATTTAATTTAAAATTTAACACAGAATATTTTTGTGAAGAAAAAAAACGCTCATCCACAATACTAGCGCGGGTAAAAAAAATTGTTCTACTTCAGCATCATTCTGCTTTGGGACCATCTCTCTCTCTCTCTCTCTCTCTCTCTCTCTCTCTCTCTCTCTCTCTCTTCATTGCTCATCTTCTCTGTGTGCTCTTCTCGGTGACAATAAATCATTTTGCTGGTGTAACTACCCCACTCCTCGTGACGCCCTAACCATCACCATTCCCGCCAAAACCAGCAACTGCGTCACTGGAAACTGACTAGTTCTTCCGTTTCTATCTGAATTTCTGGGATGAAGAGTTATTTACATGTGGATTAATGCCCTCTTTTTGTTGCTATTATTATTCACAACGTTTCAGCCATTGCCCTCTCTGGCCTTCTTCAGGTGTCTGTCGATCCAGGTAACCTTGAAGGAATTTCGAAATGAACCCTTTTCTACGGGAGTAGATTATTCTCGTTCCGCTGGCCATGTCTCGGGATATCTCGTCTTGTTCTTATTTAGTACTGCTCAGTTATTTATTGATCGCCCTGCTTCCACCGAGTCTCAAGTCTGTACTACAAGGAATTGAATTCACAATTACTATGTGACCAAATCCAATCCATTAAGACCTAAAGAAGGCTGGAGGGTACTGGCTGAAATACTGTGATAATAATAACAACAAAGATGAAGAGTGTAAATTCTATTGAGGGAAATATTTTTATAGATCGTGATTAAAACCAAGCCTGTGACTCCTCTGCTACAAACAAATAACTTAGTTTTACTGTGGACATTTTTAATAATGATTGAAAGAACGGCGACTTATTCAAAGAAGGAGGAAGAATCCTCAGAGAAAAAGAAAAGAAACCACCCCAACAACCGCATTTTTAACGAGAGCTCGAAATAATATCGAAGAATGTTGAGGTAGTGACTTGCTGCCACTTGCTCTCCTGTGAGCGCCACTCCCTAGTGTTGTCAAAATTCAGTAAGAAAATGAAGATGAAAATTAAACGATCATTCACACATACACTTTGTCTTTGTCCTTTCCTCTCTAAACTTAATTATTGTGTACTGTTTTAAGAATTATTTTTAAGAAAATCTGTCAGCGGATGCTGGTCAGTTGACAGAATCAAACAGACAATGAAAAACGGATAATGAATGTCTTGAGGTGAACACAAATTAAAACTATTATTGCGTATATAAAACTTGGAAAGTAAAACGCAAGTTGTATTCAAGACATATCGTCGAAATCCAAAATCGTTTTATTAACATGTGTGCGAATTTTCGATAAAGAAGAAAAAAAACGGACCCGTTTTTAAAAACTTACTAAAAATCAGGGAATTAATTATCCTTGTGGGATCAGTCTATCCAGATTTTAAATGGAAAAATAAAAGCCTAAAATCCTAGTGCCAATCCCCAAATTACAATACAAAACTATAAACAACGTGAAAAAATGATCTTCGCAAAAAAGGAAGAAAACTAAGCTAAATATGACAATAACATTTATACACTAGATATATATCTTTACAATTTACATGTTGAAAATAACCGTACCTTGTTATGGTTCTGAAGAGACCAATACTTTGAT